TTTTTTTTTTTTTTTTTTTTTTTTCACTTGTAGAAATCTCATTTTTCTGTCACCACCGCGATAAAATTATCATTGTAGCTATTTTCGTGCCATTGAGGAGGGATCGCCGTTGTTGAAAGTAAAATCCGTCAGCCAAGACAAAAAACGTGGCCGTTTCAGAGAGGTCACCGTTAGTGGAGGGGTTTGACTGAAGTGTTATTTTGAGAACTTTCACACATACTAGAACGCCATACTACATCGTATGTGATAAAATTATTTGGTTCTCACATCTAGATTGTAGCAACTTGGCAGACTAGTGGTTACACTGCAGTTCAAATTCCAACTTTGGTTGGAATGCCAGTGGTCTCTATTTTCCAAAGTTCTTAATATATGGCACAAGAATTTAGGCAAAAAAAAAAATGAAAGTAAGCAAATATAAAAAAGGCCAAATCAGATGTCATGTATATGTACCGGGGTCATTACCAACTTCTGATGTTCAAATTGATGAACATAACCGACCTGATGAATTGTTCCTCTTGGAAAGTAAAGAATATCTCCAGCTGCAAGCTCTGTATCAAGAATTGGATCACCAATTTCTTCTTGGCTGAAATTAGCTGTCAAGAAAGGGAAGAATACATAACCACGTTTTTCAAAACGAAGTCTATCATGTCATTTTGAAGACTTTAATTACTTGGTAGTGTCGTCATTCTCATATTTGCTTTGTGACTAAGGAAAGGTGAGAGAGAAGGGGAGGGGGTGAGTTCATGAGATGCCCATATACAACTTCCAAGTAGCTTTTGCTGCCATTTTAACTCTTTACTATCAAAATTTAACATATAATCTCACCGCTGTCTCAAAACATTAACAATGTACATGTAGCACATCCACATTTCATCAAAGATACCATTTACAGTGTATAAGGTGCTACATGATGGTCAAGCCTGCATTCAAGCCAAGTATCCCATCAGATTTAGAAGAACAAAGAGTGTGTCTTCTCCCCTACCCCAAGTTCCAGGGGGATTTCAACTGACAGGGATGGTCAAGTGATTTTTTTTGGGCTTGAAATTTTCGATTCTCGGATTTTTTGACAAGTATTTTTTTTCCCGTGGTAAAGAAGGGATTGTTTTGGGGGAGAGAGGGGGGATTCAAAACAGTCTGAAAATTCATGGGTAGTACCCTGGCCGCATAGTTCTTGGAATAAAGTTAAGGCTTGGAAATTCACCATGTGATTTTCTTGGGGTTAATTTTTGGTCCAGAGACTTTGGGGGGTTTTGTTGGAGGCCCTAAGGATTTTTTTTGGTTTTGGTATTTTTGTCCCCCACTCTATCATTCCCATCACTTGAATTCCCAGTACCCCGCCCAGCCCTCTGGGCCTGGAGATGGGATGCTGGATCCTCCTCATGTTACGTGATCCATGGCAGGATTACAGGGTTTTGTAATGTCTTGAGCTACTGTATGTGGCAATCATCAGTGCCCCTCTAATTTCTACCACAGCCTGTCTGATTCACAACCTAACAGAAAAGATCAGACTTACCACTAGAATACCTAGGTAGGGATTCTGCATCACTCCTGCAATGAGAGCAAAAAACATTATTTCGACTTCTTTTTCATCAATGAAGATCATCTGTGAAAACATCTGGTGATCCCCAAATATGACAAGTCCAAATACTGTGGTAGAATACTGGTTGTTAGCCCTGCGTTTGGGTGAGCTTATAACGGCAGGGAGTCTATATCTGAAGGTGCATCTGGTGGGGGTGATGTATAAGCTGCAAATATATACAGTGTAATTGCTTAAAAAAACCTAAGTGTTTGGAAATGACCACAGATACTGTATATAATTTAAGCCATTCTGAAGAAAGTTTTTGATCTGTACTCTAGTTGCCAACTTACGCCTATTTGAATTTGTGTTTGAAGTTCAATGCTCTGTGAGGATGTTAGAATGTAAATAAATTATGTATTTAACTTGGATTGAAAACAATTTTTCTGTGTGTGTGATTATTATCAGCCTTCCCACAACTGGGCCCATTTTCGCTCAGGATGTTAACTTTATAACACGCAGTAAATACCTTGGATTATAGAGTCTCCAGTGTTTCCGTCCTTCGAGTTGTACAACAAAGGCTTCAATATCATCGTAATGTGGTGCAAAGCCTTGTGACCCAGGAGGAGTAAGATAACTAAAATTATAAGAACAATCAGTCAAACACAGAGTCTTGAGGAGTCTACAGACTTCGTCTACTACACTACACTAGATGAACTATAACAGTGCCCTATGCAACATTACATGTAGATACATTTTTAGTATGTGAGAGGTAAAAATAATGAAGTCTGACTCTACACAAAGGTACGAATCTTGAAAGGAACATCAGCTATCGACTTGAAATGCATGCATCTAAACATATTTAGAGTATATTATACAACTGTATTTTGTTCACCAATTAGTGTGCATATTTTCTTGGGGCTAATTTCTACATATTAAAAACATTAAACAAGTCCTTACACATTGGCACCAACCAAACAACCAAAGTACTCCTGCAAAAGTGAAGTCAACTTCCACACGGAATGTGAAAAGGCTTGTGGATTCAGAAATCGAACAGAGCAGCCATTCTACAGACAAAATAAATGAACGTGCTTTAGAGCCATGCACTGTTGCAATGCCAACATATACTTTAGATCCAATCATTGCAAGTAAAATGCTGGGAATACAATGATTACTTTCTTTTTCCATAATGAGTTTTCCTCAGGTGTAGGTCTTTTTGAATCACAAAGTAATGTAAAAAAGTATATCTTATCTGCCAGGCTCATTTGGAAACATATTGAGTGAAAACTGGCATTTGGCACCATGCTGAGATCTAAAAATATTCATCTGGTATTTTACATGACTTGCATTGATTGATTGCAGAAACAATTATAAACAAGAAGTTACCTTTAGTTAAATAATTGGATCACAAAATAATTAACAAATGTGCAACATTTTTACAAATCTACAACATTTCTTTACTACAAGCGTATTTGTCTATTTTAAATATTCACAGATACAAGAAAAGAAAAGCTGATCATTAATTATTATTCCTTTTTTCTCCTTCTACTAGGCTACTAGTCATGCAATTTAAAAGTGTACACACCTCATAATAGTCCCATACAACTGGAGCATGAGCTCTGCCTCTTGGGTTATGAGTCTCTCTCTTTCCATCTCTATACGACGTAACATCCAAGTTGACTGAGAAATAAACTCTGTGCTAAAGTAAGCAATAAAATTAATGTAGGAAAGCCAACTTACATATTTCAGTAATTACATTTTGTTTTGCTGAACATTCAGCTTATCTTATTTGTCAAGTTTGACGTGTGCACTGTTTATGTTCAATGTTGCAAGCGTGCTGCATTTGCATTTATATATCGCAATGATGCTTATTGCGTAATGCGCTTTATTTAAAGTCACGTAATTCTGAGAGTTACCAGTTGTGCAGAAACAAACTAGCTAACCAGTTGTCCAGTCTGTTCACTCACCAGTTATTACTCACCAGATATTTGTGAAGGTTTTTACCTACCGTTTGCAACAATGAACATCAATTATGGAGCCAGTCAAGAAGTCTTTAGTTGGTTGGCAAGTTTACTTTACGTTAATTTTACTGTTTGTTTTGAACACTTGTAAGGCCGCGTGCCAATGTAATTTCTTTGTATTTTAGATCGGATTGAATTGTTAAATTAAATACCGTATGGTTCTTATTTTGCTAGCGTCTTTGGTCTCTTGTTCAACGAAACACATTTAATGAAAAGAAGATGTGACTATTGCAGTTTTAATCACAAATAATATAGCAATTACAAATTAAACCTGCTGAAAATCTTTTCAGGGCTTAAACAGGATTCAAACAGGTGGCCTACAGTGGTTGCCAATGTTACAGGATCAGAGCTTTATCAATGAGTTCCTAACAGGAGACATAGCGTCCCGTGGACGGCAACTTATTTAAGAAAATTGTTTTATTTTTCATAATTATGTTGCCTTATATATATTGTTCATTTGAGCAAGCCCTATAGCACATTTTAGACACCCTCTTTTCAAACACTGGCTAAAAGCCTGATAACATATGAACATTTTCAGTCTGCAAGCACTCATGTTATGTTTACAATCATTTCAAATAACGGAAGATTTACAGTAACTGTTAGTATTTACCTTCCTAAGAATGTCATCCATTTCTTTGGTGCTAAACCACCCATCATTATAGGTCAAGTGGTGTCTCTTTATCAACAAAGGCTTTTGTTCCCACACATCACTAAAAAGGAGAGGTTTTTTTTTTTTCAATATCTGCTACAGGGATACAGCTGCCCCTCTCTACCAAAGCCAACCGGCTGCAGAATTTACAGGCCATATGCATAATAGAGAGTTATATCTAGCGTGAGAATCAGAGTCAGATTCTTTATCAGAAGGGCAGAGCAATTTTACGATCCATTGAAATATAAATCAAAGGAGTTGGAAACAGAACACTGATTTGCTGTCCATTTTGATTTCTGATTGGTTGTGAAGTCGGAAGCCATAATTTATTATGCACTGACACAACACAAACATCTGTGAGCTCAATGCACAAATGTAGGTCATTACCTTAATTTTTAAGATTCCTTTTCTGATCGAGTTACAGAAACCTTCACGTAGGAGATGAGTTGAGCATATAATGAAAATACAGATAACTCATATTTTCTTAGTTTAAAATGTAAGCTTATACTTTTCCTTGAAATATGTCTTATATGCATCTACATATACCCCCCCCAGTGGGGGGACTTCCGTATAAAAAGTACAGGGGTGTTCGTTGGAAATTTTGAAAAGAACCCATATGAGGTACCAAGATCCTGTTTTGTGGACGTGGCTTAAATTTTTTTCACTTCTAAGAGGTACCATTTCTAAAACAAACATTATCTCCAGTCATTTTTTTGGCTCAACACCCTGAAAGAAGGATGGCGAATGGTCCTTCAAAAGCTCTGGGTCTCAAATTTCACGGGTCTTGCAGTCTCATTTTTTAGCGGCTGTGTGTGTCTTGCAGTCTCGATTTTTCTACGAAGCTGTCTCGGAGTCTCGCTTTTTTGCAAGGCTAAGGGTCTCGAAGTCCTAATTTGTTCCTTTATCTGTTCTTATAAATTACGTCTTGTCTTTACATGATATGGAATTTCAATGAAGCACCTTACAAATTTTCCGAGAAAAAGTTAATCCTAACTTCTCCTAATTGTCTTAATTCCACAACAAGGTACAAAACCTACCACAACGTCCGTTTGGGCGCCAGAAAAACAGTTATTTTTCTCTAGGATATCATAACGTAGTGTGTTATAATCAAATTTCCAGTTCCAGTCAGTTCCAAGCCTGAGCTGGCTTAAGGCTGTACAAGCTCATTCTAGCTCTCAACTAAATCTGGGGCTCGAATTTTAAGAGTCTGAACGTCTCACGCTCGCGCTCAAAACACTTTGAAGTCTCAGTCTTGCAATCTAAAAAGTCAAAATGTCTCGGGCTCGCAAAGAAAAACGCGTCTCGCTGTCTCGCAAAGTCTCGCATTTATCATTCGCCACCCCTTAAAAGGTAAGAAAAAAGTTCCCACTGTGGACCTTTTGAGGCTGAACACTCTAAGAGGCACCAAAACTGCCTTTATAACCCCTAAAAGGTACGACAAGTACCCCTGTCATTTTCATATGGGAGTGCCCCACCCCCAACCCCCACCCCAAACCCCCTCCGTTGCACACTACCTGAAAAACTTTCTGGCTTTTACTGGACTTATTAGCCAGGAGAAAAGTCCATCAGCTTCTAAATCTTCTTGATCTAAGTTCTTCTTTGCTATCAATTCCTCCTGCTGATCCGATTCGTCGTTCCCAGTCTCGCTGTCGGTTTTGTCTGCCTTCTCCACAGCCAAGCTGTTTGCAGTAAGATTACTTGAGGAGTTCTCCAGATCGACACGATCATAACTTCGATAGCCGTTTCGCTTCTTCTTACGGCTGGACAAGCCCAGACTCTGTCTAAGCTTATTCGCTTTGCTGAATAGCCTTCCTTTTCCTTTTTGTTTGGGCTCTAGAATATCAGCAGTTTGGTCATCGAGATCAAAATTTCCATTCTCGTCTTCCGTGTTCAAACTCTTACTGCTGCTAAGTTTGCTTGTTTTCTTGGAGTGGCTTGACGAATTGTCTTCGTGCGACCTTTTCTTCGATCCAGACGGTTCAGTGAGTCTTTCTTCCTCCTTTAGAGATGTTTCATTTTCCTTTATTAGCTGCGACTGGTAAACACCAAACGCTGAACGTCTTCGAAGACTTGACTTCATTCTCTCCAGAAGATCCTCGTGGAAAAAATTGATTCTCCCGCGTAATCACAGCGGAATTTTCCCAAAGCAGACATATGTACATGTATGAGTAACGGAAAGTCCCGAGAGGCGGTTTGCAAGGCAGCCATATTGGATTTGACAGTCTCAGCAAAGAGATGAACGACTTGACCCAGCATAGATATTTTGGGAAAGCTCCCCGAAACACAATCCTTGGAACCCATTCCATGGGAATTGGATATGTCATCTTGATGATTATTCTTTTACTTTGGTTAGAATTTTTTGAAGTGATTCCTTCGCTGTTTCGAGACTCCATGCAACTGTTTACAACAAACTTCTTGGTTTTTCTTTACATTATGATCAACGTGACTGGGAATTATTATTACTTAGTGACCACCGACACGTCTTATAAGAAGGTTGAAACATGCAACGAAGAAAGGGATGGATATTTCTACTGTCAATCTTGCGAACAAAATTCGCCTCCGAGGTCACACCATTGTTCGTTTTGTGACAGGTGCATTGTAAGGCGTGACCATCATTGCATTTTCACGGCATCTTGCCTCGGTCACGCCAACTACCGTTTCTTTATAGTCTTCAATCTATTCGTATTCGTCGGATCAGCTTATGTGGTGATTATAAACCTGTACTATTTGCACATCAATATTGGCCCTTTAATTCCTCTAAGCTTTGAAGCCATCTGCAAAGTAATACCACTTTTGACTGTGTTTAAACTGTGGACTGGTAGTGTCACGTTATATTATTTTCTTGTGGTCTGTGTGACATGGCTGTGTTTAATTCAAGCGTTCGGTTGCTTTGGGTGTTTTGTCTTTCAAATGACATTGATTTTCTCTGGACAGACAACTTATGAATGGCGACATAACATTTTCATTTATGATGAAGGATGGAAGAAGAACTTTCAAGATATCTGTGGACCTCTATGGTACCTTTGGTGGCTTTTCCCATTTTTTCAGCTACAAAAGCTCGCATCAAACGAGGAAGATTACTACACTCAATACACTTCAAAATCTTCAAAGTATGTCTAATTACTCAATATACAACTGCAGCCATATTTTTATTTATAAAGACAAATAAACAGTAGACATATGCTCTCATTGATACTCTACCGACAGGCTATCAGATCATGCAATCTGGCAAAATAAGTTGTAAAAATAAATGCTTGTATTCCTAAGGTAAAGGTAAAAAGGTAAAGTCTGCATACGAGACAAGTGGCGGACATCAGGCCAGAGCTTATCTCGGTTTCTGTAGCATAAAGTGACCAGGAATAGTTCTACTCCCCCTTGGATGGGATGCTAGTCCATCGCAGGGTTACCTCCAGCATTAAATTTGCTGGTAACCATTTGTACATCTGGGTGGTGAGAGGCACTGTGAGAGTAAAGTGTCTTGTGCAAGAACACAGCACAATGATCCTGGCCAGGACTTGAACACAGACCGCTCAATCTTGAGTCAAACACACCAACCATGAGGCCACCACACTTCCACTCTAGGATCCTGCAGAGTCCCCTGTAAGATTTTAAACCTGGGAAACTGGATAATATCTTAAATATGAAGGCAGGTATTATAACAAGCTTTGTATACCATAACAATACCTAATCCTGACTTATCGGTACACTTAAGCAGCATATCAAGCATGTTTGGTAGAGCTGTGATTTGTAATTTGGTAAGACACAGTCAAGCCAAATACCCATTGCATGGCCAAACAAGCCTCGCATGCCACTATAGCAAACCAAAAAGGTGTGATTAGATATATTTTATCATGCAGGCTGTACCTAAATTTAACCAGAAATGCTTAATCCTACCTTTCCAGTATGCTCAGCAGCGTATTGGGTCATATATTTTGGTGAAATGTAGTCGAGCCCAAAAAAATACCCATGGTGAGACTAAACGAGCACGATGTACTGCCTAAGTGTACCACATAAGGTACAATTAGATGTTTACCACACCCAAATTTGGCCAAGTGACCATGATATCATATCATATCAGGTCAGTGACTTGATATTGACTACATGTATATTGCAGGATATCAGAACAGTAGACATTGCTTCTGAATGGCTAATTGTGATGGCATTTGGGAATGGTACGGAAGGAAATGAGCTAACCTTGATCATTTTGAAACTGTCTTCCTTCTTAAGCTCACTTCTTTTACAAGAATTCATTTGTCACCTTATAAAAAAGGAGTTTCTAGTTAAGCAAGTGAGATTTCTCCATAGTTTTGGCCTGTGAAAGTAACAGAGTAGTTTTCCAGTAAATTTATAAAAACAAGGTGTTGAAGTTCTTTACTCTAAATGGATATGTTCTTTTGCATGTACAACCAGGTCTCTTGCATGTACAACTAGGGCTAAAAAATTAAAATAAATGACTATTTAAGTGTTAAATGTATTTATCATGTATCATTTATTATGCATTGTATTTAATTGGGGACACTGTAAATAAATAAACAAATAATTGCAAATACAGCACAACATCCTCTTTATTATGGCCCCGTTACTACCCTATTAAGAATTCCAACTACTGGAAGGCTGACCAGTTGGCTAATTCCAAAAAGTAAAATGAGGAGTTGTGTCTAGCCTGTGAGCAGGCTCACTTGTTTAGGTAGGGTATCGTGGGCAAGGGCGGCGGAGCTGCAAC